AAAAACTGACCACTGTATGCTGATGTTAAATGTATCAGAAGGTTGTTTGGAAACAAGAAATTCAGAGGACTGTATAACAGCATCAGTGTAGCAGACCTCCCGTGTATATTTCACCCTATTGGTCAGTGGCTGCTTAATGTCATCACTTCCTGATGCTGAAGGTCTGATGTCATGTTCTAAGTGACTTATGCAGTCAGCAGTGCAGGTGTGTTAGGAGAGCTGTAATTGACAGTGGACAGAAAATATTAGTAAGTTGATCTTTTAGAGAAATAATTCTTCTATGTGGCTTTCATAGCCCTTAAAGTGAGTTGAAAAGACTATAAATATCCATCATTAGCACTATTTACACCCTTGCTTTTGCTAACTTTTGAGTTGCTGTTATTTTTTCTTTTCAGAGTGAGGAAATGGGAGGGTGAATTTGGGAAGTGAAGTTGACAAGAAGTTGACAGGAAGCTGACACTGTGCTGATAAAGGAAAATAAGGTATGTTGGGCTGTCTTAAACCACAGATGTTTCTTCTGAAATATGTAGAGACTAAATTTGGAAATGATCTGTTTCTGTAGCCATTCACTGTAGTTCGTGCCAGGCAGTTTGTATCCGTAGATGGATACTATTTTCAGCAGGAAATTAAGGAAGCCACCTGTCTTCACTGTGTCCCTGTTCTCTTATGACATTACCCTCCTTTAATTCTGGCAAGAATTAAGAATCACAAGAAAGTACCATGGCTTACTACAGAGATATTAATATATCAATCACATTATGTCTCCATCTTACATAGAAATACTTAAATTAGCTTTAAATTTACTAACATCAGTCAAATACCCTTATCACTATAGATTCAGCAGCAAAGAATTCAGCACAGATTAACTTTCCAAATTTGCTTTTCAGTCAGGCTTTGCAGTCTGTGCCAAGTTCTGTTGTTTCACTGCTGAACTGCCTGCAGGCCACCTATGTAAAATATACCTTGATATAATACAGTGATGCCTTGCTGGAGATGTAAGCATGCCCTGTTAGTCTGGATAGCACCAAGCAGAATGGGCTTCTCTTGTGGTCACAGTCTTTTACTATAACCTTGAGATACCTAATATAGCTGGCATATTTTGCAATTTTTTTGTCTCCAAATTTTTATGGAGGGATGTCCAAGTTCCAATGGCATAAAACTAGATGAAGATTGAAATAATATATCAGCAAAGTCATATCACTTACATTAGTGATGAGAAACAACTTGTTGGAAAAAAATAGTGATTAGAAACTAGAGGTGGGAATGAAGTTTTGAGGCTATGTGTCTCAAAGTGGTGGCTGCTGAAAAATAAATAAGCTACTAACTCTAAGTCCATGGCACTCAGTCAATTTCTTGCAATTAGCAATGTACTTTCTAAAGAGATCTGGATTTTTTGCCTTGGAACAGTAAAAATACTTGTGTTCAGGAAGGAAGCACTTAATGGACAGTATTAAAAATCTAATAACTGAAAGTTTAATAGCTTCAGAAGGTGCATGACTAATAATCTAACTAGCTGACTAAGAAGGCTTATGAATTTGGAAAGTCTTATGATGGGACTTTCAGCTCTTTCATGCTGAACACATAGATACAATAAACTAGAAATACCCAGGTGACATGGTAAAACATAAGATGCAAAAGCTATCAGGTACCATGAGTTTATGAGCTGAAACCCTTATAAGTTTCTGTTGTAAAGGAAAGTAGTTGCAGCTTAACAGTTTCAGAACTTTTTTTTTTCAGATGTGGTAATAATGCATTCATTTTCATGTTCTTACTTGGATCCATGAATTACTTGAATCCAAGAGTTAATGAGAATAATCACAGTAACATTTGCTTTAAAAAATTTTTTTAAAAGAAAGGCGGAGTTTCCCTCAAGAGATCTCATTCCTTTTAGAAGTGTATTTTATGATAGGAGGAATTACCCCATTTAAATCACAGAACTTCTTCCCTTGTTACTGAGTCTCTATGCAGCTGGTGAGAACGGACACCCAACTTCCACCTGGTGAGACAGATTCATAAGGACAGAGGGATCCTACCCATGGTAGTTAAAGATGTACATTTTTGCAGTAAGAAATTCTAAGTAGTAGCCACTGTCAACATTTCAGTATCCTCTTGAAAAAAAGGAAGAGATCTTACTTCTTAGGGCAAGATTTTAGAATGCATTCGAATATAGGAATATATCTACAGAAAATAAATAATGGGAAATGTAAGCCTTTATAGTAGTTGTAATGTGGGCAATCTAGATGGGGAGGGGTCCAGTTTTCCATTCCCTCCGATTTTCATCCAGTTTAAAGGCTGCTCTGTATTCTGTAAGTTAAAACATTTCCAGAGGGATCTTTCCAAAGGGAAAGGGCCAGATCATTTGAAAAGTTTATACTTTTAGTTCTACCCACTTCTGGTCCCAATTTAATGGTGTACTCCCATATAGCCCCACCACTGAAGGGCTTCCATATGAATGGGAGAAACGATGATGGCCACATCTTCTGTTTGCTTCACTGAGTAACAAAAAAAAAAAAAAAAAAAAAAAAAAGGAAGTTAAGTTTTTAAGTTTTGGTTTCTCTGAATTCATAGCAAAACTCAGTAGCATTAAGATTTTACCACTGGTGTGTTTATTGGCCTCTCTGAACTTTCTTTTCTCTGCACTTCTGCTCTGGTGTGTTGTCAGGTCTTTTTGAGAACAAGAGGAAGTGCTTGCTCTTTTGTTTAAGCCAATAAATCTGGTTAGGATTTTGTTGAGACTAGAGTTGAAGCACTGCTTGAGGTTGCTGCTGTAATATGTTAATATATTAATATATTAACATATTAATGTAATATATTAAAACAGTCTAAGAAAGTACCAGCCTACAGTTATTTGCTGTACCATGTTTCATACAGGGAACAGGAGTCTAGAGGCAACAGTCAGTTATTCTGACAGGTGACTTGACAACAAAACATTAAAACTGTCATTCTGGCCTTACCAGACCATAGGACTAATGGAGCAATTGCTGCTTGCTATGCCATGAATTCACTAAAACTGTCAACACTATTGGAAACTCTGCTGACATTTGTGGAACCATTGTCAACTTCAATCATACTTCTGTCAGAGTATTTTATTTGCCACAGTAACTGACTGGTGGTGTCTTTGCTGGAGGAGTTTAAAAGAGCTGTAAATTCTACTCCTCTTCCCTGCCGTTAGCAGCAGCCAGTGTGCGTCCTCATCGCATGGTGGGACACTATCATGTGGCTGTATGAAGCATATCAGTACATGAAACAAATGTTTCCAATGCTGGTTATGATTCAAAACTATGATGACTAATAGAGATTTTGGTGTTGGAGTGTGTGGGCAAAGTGAGGAGCAAAAAGGAAAATAAACCCCAGTTGTTAAATTGTTTAGGCTTTTCATAGTGTTTCCATTATGAGCAGGAAAAGATAGAGAATAAATTACACAAGAATGAAGCCAAATATTTGGAAGCCGTGCTCTGCAGGCAGAGTTCTGTGGACTTATTCAGATGAAATTCCTGCAGAAAGCCTTCTCCTTTGCTGGTGAAGTAAGTCTAAAAGCCTTTCAGGCTAAAACAAACTTTAGGGATTTGTTACAACAATGCTGTGATTCTACAGAGACAACAACATGTCCATAAATTGAAACTAGTCATCTGACAGTCTCCATTTGTCTGACCTACTTTCTACTTGCACTCTGTAAACACCCACAAGAAGAAAATTTGGGGATGGCAGAAGGGGCAGTTAGAGGGACAGACAAGAGAGGCAGAATGTTACATAGCTTACACATGCCTTATATCTCATAATTTATAATCAGAAGAAAATGAGGGAAAGGGGATGATCAAAGAATACTAGTGTCCAATGAAACATGAGCCCAGAAGAGTGGTTCCTTCCTCTTGGCTATCACCAGTGACTGATGTGGGGGTGGCTATCCCAAGAGTCATCATAAGGATCTCACTGCTTTTTATCTTCCTAAAATGGATGAAGGAAATAGTCCACAATCTGAAAAAAAAATCTTTCTCAGGTGTTCATATTCGTTTTTCCAGAAGCTGCTATCCCCAATACCAGGATGGCAGAATGTGTGTCTGCATGTCAGTCATCTCAGTAGATAATCTGGTTCAAGGCTGGTTTTTTTTTATGTACCAGATGGTGAGGTGGAATAGATGAAGATACTTTGCCACACTGCTCTATACACCTAAATTTGCCTCACTGATTATGCAGCTGAAGCTTGAGCCCATGTAGTGTGAACTACTCAGTCACATTCTACAGCTAGCAGCCATAACAAAATCTTAGTTGATGTTGGTTTGGAACATTTGAGATCTAAAATGTGCTGATCAGTAGGTTCTGGAATCCGCTGCTCTTTCTAACAAAGGTGGGATATCTGTTTTACTCAGAAGCATAAATCTAAAAGAAAGCACTGGAATCTTTCTATTGCATTGAAAACTCAAGTTACTGTTTCCGTAATAATTGCACCTTTTTTCCTGTGCTTTGCATTACCTATGGTAAATATCCATGGCTAGTTGTTAACCTGCTGCAAAACCTATTAAAAATCTTACTGAGGCTAGGAAATTTACTGTTAATACTAAAACAGCCCAGTTTGCAGCACTGCCAACACATTGCACATCCTGATCTGCCCTGGATTTTGACATTCAGGGAGATTATTAACTTGTAAACCTGTATGGTTTTCCTCATGAATGAATTCTGCAAGAGATACATGTGTAAGTACAACTTCAATGCGTAGACAAGGTAAATACGCAATCGTTCTAAAGCACCATTATGTTCTCCAAAATATTGACATGTCAAGTAAATAAAGTAATGAAAAAGGTTAATTTCACCAGATCTATGCGTAAAGGGAGCCCTAGAAGTCAGTGAGAGCTGTGTGCTCGGAGCTGGTGCAGTACTTAGCACTCAGTTATGAAATAACTGGGCAATAAGACACAGTGACCACGTGAACACAGTAATTATAACACTTGGCAGTGCTTATGTGATGACTGACCTCTCGCCAGTGCAAAAAGCAAGAGCTGTGCCATTCAGCTAAGGAGCAGAAGTTCTAGAGCAGGAAGCAGGAATAGCTCATGTTCTGTCTGGATTTCCAAAGGAGAATTGCACAAAGTGAGGACTAGAGTGCCATTCAGCTTCCCTATCTCCCTGAGGGCTGCTCTGCGCTGCCCTATCTCCACTATCCTTTCCTGTTCCTTCCTCACCCACCCCATGGACACAGCGTACAGGGGTCAACATAGTGAACATGAAGGCACTCCAGCTCTCAGCAGTTCTTTCTCTAATAACAGAAAGCCTGGCTTACTGTAAGTCAAATTTTAATGGACAATATTTTTCTTTAAAATATTGTCTTGCTTTGCTATTTGCACTGCTGTTGCATCTTAACTATGTGAAGAGTGATAATAATAACAGCTTTGCTGGCTTTTGCAGCTTTGCCAGGGAAGTAGGTGATAATATGGCAGCTTTCACAAGCAACTTCCATGAAATCTTTAAAAATGTGAATATGAGTCTAGGCTTTAGAAAACCTAAAGAGTGAAAAAAGGGCAGTAGGGCACAGATGAAGACATCCACCTTCTAGAACATGTAAAAACTGAGATAATCTGAGACCAGTAGCATATAACATTTTTATAGGGCTCTTCTATAATTATCTATTGCTTTTATTCTAGCCTCCAGCTGACATATTGTAACCAGGATTGATGGGATAATTACCAGTGTCAAGGAGACCAAGTACTCAGAGTTTGTCAGAAACAGCCTAAAAAAGAGAGATGGAAAAAAGGAAGTCCCCTCCCATGCTAAAAGCATAGGGTCAGTCACAGACAACCTGTGGTGGTAATAGAAAGATTTTATAAGCAGGAGTGGAAGTAGCGGAAGCCAGGCTATGAAATTTCAGGGCATTGGTCTTTCCATTAATTGTTCACATGGAGAAATACCTGGCAAAATCCCAACAGGAGAGCTTTTAGCCTCTTTTCACTTATCCTTTTTCTCCTTTCTTATGTAGGATCAAATGAAGCAGATCTGATCTCTGATTCTGCCCTGCTTTTCCCTTGATGAGAGGAAAGTAGTCAAGACTACCTAACTAAAGGAACAGTGTTTTGTTATCTGTTTTAATCTGGGCTTGTGGGTTACTCTAACTGAAGCCACAAAAGACAGCAAAGATATAGTGGCTGATATAAAATGACCAACATTGACTCCTATACATGTCATACCAATGTGATTATTTCTCTGTGTTTGCTGATTCATACAATGCTACTCTACAGCAAAGAGATTTCATACAGTACCCCAGCTGTGTTAACTAAGTTTGCAGCAGTTTGCCACCTTAACCTCCTGAATTCTTGTGCTAATAAACAGGGTTTGGCTGCAAATATGTTGTTTGCACTGTTCCTTAGCAAAGGTACTGAAGATCATAATTTTGTGCAAATCTTAGTGTTGGCAGGCACTCAAAATAGTACTAAGAGCTGGTTTGTCAAATTTAGTTTGGCTTCCAGAAACACCTTTTTATAAGATGCATCTAATGTGCATGGGTTCTATGTCACCAGTGCGATATTCAGGATGAGCATTTTGATAAGAGCCTTAAAGAAAACTGTCTTCAATAGACTCTTTTTTCTAAAGTGTATCTTTGAATTCATGGAGAACCCAGCTGTTTATACTGGCATCCAGAAACTGCTGCCAAGGTTTTGTTTGTCTAATCTAAGAAAAAAGGAGCATTAGGTCAAATGCTTGTCTTAGAGCACGGTAGAAAAAATATTTATGAGGCTTTATGAAGGAGGTTTAGTCCACAGTTTCTTTTAAAAAAAAATTAAATGGAAGAGAGTTCAAAACTTTTCTATAAACATTGTAAGAAAACATTATAAACCTACAATAATGTATAATTTTAAGATAAATTACTTCTTCCTCTCTATTATCCCATGTCCTACAGTGGTAGGATAATATCTAGGTTTAACTTCAGAATCTTGTACTTTATGATGATCTTGATTCAGAAACTGTTTTTCAGCCACAGGAAACACTTGATGACTGTGATACAACCTGATGACATAGACTATCTCTTTAATGATGACTCTGTAGCAGCAGATGCAGTCTTGTGCATCTTGACAGTGAGCGAATGGCTGAATCTGCATCAGGTGAAATTATTTGCTGTATAAATACTTTTATACTTCAGCATTATTTTGCCATATAAATCCCATATTGGCTTTTATGTCAATAGATTAAGTCATATGATGATTTAGCCATGTAGCCTGTTAGTAGATCCTAAAGCAGGCTTAGAACACAGATATTTCAGCGCTTCTCAACCTGCAGTGTTGTGTTGTTAAACTGCCTGCAATGTTGGTGACTCGGGAAGAAGCAACAAAGGAAGCCTGTCAGTAAACAAACTTCATTGCAGAAATCTTATCACAAATGTCAACATATAAAAGAAAATGTAACATAAAAATGCATGTGCTGATTCACAGCTCCCAGTGACACTCATGGAATAGACTGGTTGGGCGGAGGATTAATGCAATATATAACAGACCTGCTGCAGTTTTCCTTCTTTGATTCTGAGTTGGTTATTTAGTCACGGAACCTTCACTGCTTTCCATCAATGTGAATTATGCACTGACTGATGCAGAGCGGGAAGTCTTCCATGTTTTTGCCTATGCTATGCCCCAGTGAACTGGACTACTGACTGATCACCCACCAGTTTCCATGAAGCCGTGTTGTTACCTTCTGATCAGTGTGTGTGGGTCTCCTAGGCTGTCTAAAATTGCTGTCATTGCTTTTGCAATGTATGTCTTAAGTCTATTAAGAAGTGCTTAGCAGCTATCTTGCAAGAAGGGTAGATAAATTTTGATGTCCAGCTAAGTGCAGCATGGCCATCCTGCCTATATGATCTGTATATGTGTACACTTGGACCCATATTAAGGGAAATGTAGGTCTGAGTCTCCTTTCCTCAGTCTTTCCTATATGTACTTCATGTGTATGACTGAATTTGAAAGTTAAACCAAAACACAATTTTGATATCAATGTCTTGTCTGTACTTCATTTCTCCAGCTCCAAAACTGGATGAAATAGAACATTGCTGCTATTTCACTCCCAATAATGGTATTACTGCAAATTAAAATAAAAGGCTGAAGTTCTTGAGTACTGCTATGACTGGGATCATGAAAGCATCATACACAATTGTATTGTAGGTTTGCTTCTTGTTCCTATAGCAACATACAGGCAAGATCTCAAGGCTCTTTACAAGTATTCATGAATTAAGCCTGTGAGGTCATGGATGGTGATTATTCTTGTTTACAAACAAGGAAATGCAGAGGTTAAATTGCTTGATCAAGGTCACACAATAAATCTGTATCCAAGCCAAAAATAAAAGCTGACTCAAATCTGTGCTTCAGTCACCAGCTGATACTCTCTGTTTGAAGAGCTGTGCAGGGCTGAGGGGAAAGCCTTGTAAAAAGTCTACAGATTTCTTCATTCAAAACGTACATTCCAGCTCAGATTGCCTCACTTAAGTGACCTTATATTTTTATCTCTTTGTCTATCTAAACTTTGCCCTCGTGAAAACATCATTATATCCAGTCAAAGCAGGAGTAACATAATTTTGACAAGAGTTTTGCAAATCTTTGACAAAACAAAACTGAAACCTATGCTAAAAAATTTTAACAATTTCTCTATGCATGATTGCTAATTCTTCAGTGGCAATTAGATGAAAAGGTCCAGAACATACCTAGTTAATTTCAGTGACTACATAGATGAAAAAACCCAAATGTATTTTTACTAAGAACAACTACGAATTTTCTCTGGAGTTACCACAGAGATATTGTATTGTATGATGAAAAAATAGGATTTGTTAATAGGTAACAACAAATAAAAGTGCACTTTCCTGAGTTTCTTTTTAAATCAGAGGAAGTGGAAAACTGTAAACTCTGGAAGATTTTTTGGTATCCAGCCTCTGCTCCTCCTTCTGCTCATAGTGCTTGCCAATGCCAGAATATTGTGAGCTGAGATAGAGGACAACAACAGTCACACTTTTAAAACTCTATTGTCCTACTGGATGCTGTTTGTAGGATCAAAGAGTGGAAAATAGCAAGTGTACTCTTAGGAATGTCCTTTTATAGTCCGAGCTAAATAGTATAAAATGCTTTCTTGCTCCCTTATCTCTTAGGCATATAGATGTCTGACCCAAGTCATGCTTTGTCTAGATACCACTAATTACAGTTATTAGATGGATGTTGGGCTGCTTGTTAACTATATCCTTGTGGTCGTGCTGTTCTGTTGTTTTTTTTTTTTTGGGTGGCTGTGACTGCGAATTTTACACTGCCTAGAGGAATGGTTTGCTACTGTATCCTCAGGATCATTGCCTACTATGGCTGTGTTGTAATTCTGCTGATGAACATGTGCAGCTGGGTGAATGTCAGTAATTTAGAGAGGAAAAGTCTTGTGAGAGTCGAAGATCGCGTTTAGCAACATTTGCAAGTCTAAGTAAAATGTTCACAGAGGCACTAAGCAGTAAGGAGGCTTATTGGACTGGCTTTTTTGCTTAAAAGGAGCTAAAGCAGGGGTGGGTTAAGGACAGGAAAGGGGAGGATCAGCACTTCCACCTGAAAGATAAAGCAGATCTGGAAGTGAAATAGCCATATCAATAGCAATGTAGATATAGCTATAGCTATAGATTAGATATAGATCTCCCAGTTGGAATGAATATCTGATAATATTCTCAGCTTCTCAGAAATTCTGCACACATGAGCATTAAAATCTGTGAAACGCTGAAAGGATAAAATGTAAGGGTCACATAGGGTCTGCTGTCTACATTTTGATCCCTTTGTTGAGTGACAGCTGCACCTCAGGTGTTGCTGTTGCCCTCTCAGCTGGGCGGTCAGAGATCCGGAGGACTCAGTCTCAGTGTAAGGCTCTAGTTTGTCTTCTTTGTTTGTTTGTTTGTTTGTTTTCTAGTTTAGTTTACTTTTTAAATGTTTCACTAACCTTTTTCTAAAACTTTTGCAGCAATCAGACTTGCTTGAGAATTTGTATGTAACCAAATTACTCAATATTACCAATCCCTACCTTGCTTTAGAAAGGATCACTTTGTACAGTGTACTTGGGTACTCAACCTGAATTTTCAGGCTGAGATTTTGACTGACTAGAGATCCAGGTGTTCTTAGGTTTTACAGGTCAGAGAAAGTGAAATGGGAAAAATGTAGCAATAGAACTTAGATTAAACTGTGACTTTCTGCTTGACAATCTCAGGTGCAGGCCATTAGTTCTTCTTTTCAAAAACAATATTCACATTAATCTTGCAGAGATCTTTACACTTATGGCAGTCAATGTTTAAGTGGGAATACTTTGAAGAAATGAAATTACAGGCTTTACATTAAGAAGATCTACTGATCTTTTAATGCATTGAGATTTTTGAGAGAAGATGGCTTCTTCTGTATATTTATAGTTTTGCTCTGCTTTCACAGGTTGGAGAGGAAACAAAACACTGTAATTGTAACTGTAGGAAAGTCCACCTTTTACTTAATTTTCTTGCTCTCCTCCTGCCTTTGAAAGATGGAAATTCTACTTGCCAATGGCAGGATGTTTCAACTTGATGGGAAATGGGTAGTTTAGAAGTACTGAATAGAGATTTGATTCTGCTGAATACATGAGTCCATGGTCCAGGGTTTCACCTCGTGGGAATGGAAATGCCTAGTGTTTTCCACACTAACCTGAAATTTCTCCCAGTATTGAGCAATGTGCATCAGTGAGGTAAAAGGCACCAAAGAACCCCTTTGCTGTATTTGGAAACAGATAAACAAATGTCACAGACAGCACTCTAATAGTTAGCTACATGTCAGTATGAAGTTATGAACCTCTTTGTCTAGCTACCACACAAAGCTGATAAATCTAATGGAGAGAAAGTTTTGCAGAATGTAAAACTGGGGTCCTGATGGCTGGTCTTTGAGGCATTCTCCTAAACGTCAGTTGAGTTGCCACCCAAACTTTTTCTGAAGCAGCCTCGTCTGAAGTCTTGTAGTCACTGATGATCCTAGTCAGGTGAATTTGCCCCTGTTATTCTGCAGCTTAGATGATCAACCGAAGTGCAGTATCAAACTTACCTTACTACTCTGAAATGCAGCCTATCACTATATATGATTTTCTGATGGCTGGAAGTGCTTTTCTGAAATGCATTCCTGGAGCTAAGTAGCTCTTAAACAAGTATAGGAGCCAGCTTATTGGTAATTTATCTCTTACTGATCAGATTTACCTTATGCTAAAAAGTTAATGAGATGAACTCTGAATTTTTTTAGCAGCTTCAGTGCAAATCCTTTATATCTTAGTGAGTAGTTATGAAGCTTTATTAGGGGTGAGGGATGCAAACTTATCTCTAGTTTCTGTGGAGACTAACCCTGGTAAGCAAAAAGACGAACATGAGAACAAAGGTGTTTGTACAATATACTACATCTGCCCACCATACTCGATGTTAGTTTTCCTGTTGTGGTAGAGCAGAGTGAACTAGAAGAAGCGTTATAAAAGCTGAATGTGCCAGATTCTCATCTTTCATGTCTGGTAACACCTCCACGCATGGTCTGATTTAAACAAACCTAATAAACATATCTGAAGCAAAGTACTGCTCAGACGTCATGTGGCCTTTAGAGAGAAACTGATGGAAGAAATTCTACACTCAGGCTGTCACTCACTCAGTTGTTGACACAACTGTTTGGGGGACTGTGAACTGGATGAGGCAACCAGATAAGGTTAAAAATAATGCAAACGAAAAGGGATCAGGAGAAGGTACCATATTCTGTGGAAGGGGAAAGGTTTCGGACTTCTTCCCTGAGCTGAGCTGTGCTTTGCACTGGCTGACTCCCTGACCTGGACAACAGTTTCTGTATTTGCCAAAGCCTTCCTGAGCAGATGTAGCTCATTAGGTAAAGCAGCAGAAAACCATCCAACCTTGTTTTTCACTCTACCATTTTAGCACCCTAAATTATCTTTAAGGAGGGTCTGCTGAGTACCAGAGCTAGTAGGAGATAAACAGCAGAAGCATGACCTCCTGCTCATAGTTTCAGGGACCTATTAGTTTAGCTCAGTGCACCACTGGAAACCCTGTGCAAATAATTGTGTCATTACACGTGTGGTAGGAAAGGGCACCAGTGCTAAGCAAAACAAATGACTGACAGAGAGGGCAGAAAAGAACTACACAGCCAAAATCTCCTGATTAATGACACTGAGGTGTCAGCATGAGACAGAAGGACAGCCCTTGTCTTTCTGTATCAGCATGCAAAAATCAAGAGATTTAGAGGTTTGGGGAAGTCTTAGTACTGAGAATGTGAAGTGCTGTATTTTTAACTAGCTGTAGGACTTTGAAAGAAATGTAGAGTTGAGTGTGAAATGACAACTGGAGATTGTTAAGCAAATGGGGGATTTTCCCCTTTAAAACCAAAGATAATTAATGGAAAGATTCAATTTAGATTTCCTTATAGAATTATTCTCTATCTTATCATCACATAGAAAATATTTTTTTATTTCAATTCCAATGTCCAGTTAATAACACAGACTGGTGGACAGTCAGCCTTTGGTGAATTACACACATTCTGCATGTTGATCTTGTCCTTCTAGCTTTGATATCTCCCTTTGCCCCCTAGGGACCATCACCAATGGACCAGTTGTAGTAAGTTCATAGTACTTCAGCAAGTGTAATTTCTTTCCCATTACAAAAAAACCTAACCATGGTATGCTGAACTGAATTAGGAGTGTGTGGATGTAACTAGGATTTTTTCACTCCTGGAAACTCAGCCAATTGTCAGTAAAATGTAAGCATTAAACTTGAGGTTAACTAACACCAGTTTAAATAAATAACTAAAATTCAGTGCCTGGCCTTTGTCTACTCAATGCTGCTCAAAGTGAACATGTAGCTTTAAACTGCTTCTTAAGTGTAGAGGCTAAAAAAGATCACTACCACTCATGAAGTTACCAGAGACCTTTATGAACAGTACTTGTGTGATTTCACAAAGGAAATAAAGACTGGGCATGTCTACAGAAGGCATTAGACTTGTTCTGTGGATAGAGGATGTCATTCCTAAATTATCTATTTTTACCATAATATCAATTCAAATTTATTTACGGTGCACATTAAAGAAAATTGGTGAAATGTGAGCATTGCATGAAAGTCTATTGACGCCCAGAAATGAGGGCATGATTTGATGAGATAGGGATGTTCATGGAAACACAGTTTTATGGAAGTGCTCTGCCTTCCTTGTGGTGCTAAAAACCCTGTCAGAGTAAAGGTGCTACTCCTGATGCAGGTCAGCTCTTTGGTCTGCTGCTCAGTGTAACCCCACAAATACTTTTCAATGGCATGGCAGAAAGAGGGGCAGAAGGGAACCACTGTGTTGTTTCAGTGAAGGTCTTTTGTCATTAGCCTACAGCCAGAGCACTAGAAACGCCTTTATCCACCTTCAGCTCTCATCTAAGTGGTGAGCCAGTTGTTCCTGTACTTGTGCTGCTGTTCACTCTTTCTTTTCTTTCAGCTGTACTGTGGTAATCCATGTGAGGGTAACCATAAATTGATCAGTAAAATTATTCAGGTTTAAAATCCATTCCCATTCCATATTTGAAGTTCTGACTGTTCAGATGATATGGCATTAAACAACAGTTCTATACAGGTACTTGTACAGCACAAATAAGAAGAAAAAACATTTGGCCAAGTATAAGGACTCTGGAAGACTTTACTGATAGTTTGCTTGTGGGTAAAAATGTGAATAGAGCTACCCTTTAAGTGTAAGGTGCAGTTTAAATTTAACAGTTTATTAAAAGAGTATGGTTTTGTAGAAAGGGTAATCTTGCATTTTCCATCTTTGTCTGTTAGGCAGGTTTCAATTGCTCACTGATATTCAGGAGAGGT